GGCCAGGTCCCAGCCAGGGGCTGAGGCACAGCCTTCTGCAGCAAAGCTTCTCGAAGCCAAGTCCATCCCTGCTGCTGCAGAGTCAGCGCATGTGGGAGGCTGAGAACAGACAGTGACGGGGGAAGCACACCCTCTACGGGACACATTTATTGAAACAGTCAGGACCTGGCAAAGAAAATCAACTGTTGGCTTTAATTATTGCGTACATCTTCATCTCCAGGACTAGGAAAATTTCAACTGATAAATATACATTTCATCAGAATGCCTTTGGCTGAAATACACCATTAGCATATTCTTCAAAGTAACAACAAAAGTCTTAGAAATGTTAAAAAGGGATTTTTCCTTTACTAAAATAAAGGAGTGCACCCCCCACCCCAACAAGATGCTAGGACTGACATACAGGAACTCGTGGCTGTGCAAAGCAGAGCATTGATTACAGTAACAGAAAGAAGTCAGAAGAGGAGTGGGGAGCCTGCGGGCGCTCCGTGGGAGGGCCAGGCATCAGGTCAGCATGTCCCAGAGGCAGCAGCAGCAGAGCGCGGTCCAGCACGCCGTCAGGCAGGCGCTCTCGCCCGTGTCGTCCCGCCGTCGCTCCTCCACGACGTACACTGCAGGGCGGGAGAGAGCGGTCAGTGGGGAGCAGCACAGCAATGCCTGCAACGGCCAACCCCGGCCCCGCCATGGGGCCCCTCTGCCCCCCAGAACTGGCGCTGAGTGGCCCATGCCTGGTGGGGACAAGCCATGTCACAGGCCAGCGCTCGCAGGGGCCAAGGTGCCAGGCTCCTGTCCTGGGTGCCACGGCCCCTTGAGCACCGTTTCATCACCGCAGCTGCACCCACTGGGACCCGCTGCCCCTCCTGTCAGGGCAGCACCTCAGAGGGGTCCTTGGGGGGAAGCATTTGTCTGCAGCCAGGCCCAGGCTGCTGGTACTGCACAGTGGTGCAGCCTCGAGGCAGCAGTGGGTGCAGGTCAGCAGGCCCAGGCTGCTGCTAAGGCACAAACAGTTATTGAGCAAGAGAACAGGCTCGGTCTGGAAGGCTCTGAGTGAGCTGCCCGCCTGGAAGCACGGGTGCCTGAGCCTCCCTGCCTGCCCCGCAGCCTGCCCCTGCCCTCTGTCAGGCCCCAGCCAGCGGAGGTCCCAGAGCAGCGTGCCTGTGGTGCCCCGGCTGTCCCAGCTGAAGCCACTGCCCTGCACAGCGGCCGGTCCTGGGGTGGGACCCTGCACTCCGACAGCATCTGTGGTGCTGGGGAGGGAGCACATGGAGGGTGCCAGGTCAGATGTGCTGAAGGGCCAAACTCTCACATGACTGCTCACTCACTGGCCCTCCTCAGCAGGGCAAGGTGGGGAAAGAAAATGAGAAAGCTCATGGGTTGTATAAAGACAGGGAGATTGCTCACCTATGACTATCATGGGAAAAACAGGCTCATCTTGGGGAAAATTACATTAATTTATCACTAATTAAAATAGATTTGGGTTGTGAGACATGAAGACAAACACCTGCTGATGGAGAAGGCAGCTCGAGGCTGGTGGCAGCGGAGCAGCTGCCCTGCACCAGAGCAGGCACTGCTGGGGCAGGCGCAGAGCTCCAGCATGGCCCAGCACTTGGGCACCAATGTAGTGTCCCTCCTAGCAGAACCTGCTCCAGCATGGGTTGTCTCCACTGGCAGCAGGTGCTTCTGCAAACACCCACCCGCTCCACGGTCCTCCACAGGTTGAAGCAAATACCTGGAGCACTTCCTCCTCCAATCCTCTACTGTTTCTCGAACTCTTTTGTTCCCCCCTCTCTCTCGCCTTTTCCATCCTTTCTTAAATACGCCATGAAAGAGGCACCACCAGTTTTGCTGATGTGCTCAGCAGCATCCTGTGTAAGCCTGCTGGGGAGCCTACAGCAGGACAAAGAGATGAGGGCCCAGGGCAGGAGGTAGTCCCAGGGTGAGATTCAGCTACTGCTCGTGAAGGGCCAGGGGTAGGTGGGTCCAGCTGCAGGTGGGTGAGTTCCTTGCCACTGGACCACTTCCATGCACAAAAGACACAGTTTTAGCACAGAGAAGATGTGAAGACAAGAACCTGCCTGCTGCCAGGTCTGGCAAGGCCACAGGCAGGAAAAGCTGGATAGGCACCCAGGGCTGAGTTTCCAGGAGATGCCAGCTTCTGCATTTGCAGCTTTTCTGTTGTTGTGTGTTTAGACTGGCACCACTAAGTCAGCTTGCTTTAATAAGTAGCCGTTCCCTAGCCCTGCTCCAGCCCTATCACACACAAAACTGATTCCTCCTAGGAAGTCAGGGCAGAGATCCTTGCTCCAGCTTTGCGTCCATCTTGCATGCTATAGCGGACTTCCAGCCCTGCCTGCTCAGCACCCGAGGCACAGCCAGCTCTTAACAGGCTAGCAGGTGGCAATCCTCAGACTGCCAAGGGGAGGATTCCAGGATCACTCCCACGGACGCTCAGGGTACCACCTCACAGACAGAAATAATTTTGGCTCTGCCCCTCAAGTGCTGCGCAGAAGCTCCCAGCAGGCTGTTGGGATTTACTGCACTTTGCCAGCAGCCTGAAAGCACAGGAAGGAGACCCAGGCTTCGATGGAGCTGTCCCAGCAGTGTCTCCTACCTGAGGCCAGTGTGCTGCCTGCTCTTTCTGCCAGCCCCTGAAGCCCCTTTGGGACAGATGAATTCACCTTTGGCTCCTGCTCACTAAGCTTGGGCTATCATGCCCAGAACTGCAGCACATTGAAGGCGGGCATGTGACCTTCCTTCCTTAAAGCTTTCTTGGGCCTGTTTGTTATGGTCTGCATGGGAAATATGCCCTCACAAAGGAGTCTGACCCAGGCAGGCAGCTAGTGCTTTAAGGCAAGTGGCTGAACACAGGGTGTTGGCAGGCAGAGGCCTGAGCAGGAGACAGCTCATGTCATCAGCCTGGTCCTCCCACAGGCTAACTTTGTGCTCAGAACCACCCCCTCCAGCTCCCTCTTCACTGCTTCAGTTCTCTTGAGACCCATGGCTGGAGGATGGTGTGCTCTGGATTACATGACTCTGAAATCCTGCCACCGTCAGCGTGGGTCAGAGACAGGAGCAGGCCAATAACCCCACCACATATCTGCCTTCAGATATACTCTGTACCACAGCTCCCTCTTGCCAACAAGAATAACACAGAGAGGAGGCATCTGCTGTGCTCCAGAGGAGCCCCTACATGGTGCTGGCAAAGCACTACTGTACATCCTCCCTTTCAGGGCATTGCAGCTGCCTGCGAGCATTCAGCCACGGCATGTGGTGCCCTCGCTCCAGGAACGCTGGGTGGAAGCACATCTCTCTTGCAGACAGCCCCAGGAGAGGGCTGGCAGTGTGCTGCAGTGCTGTGACAGGCTGTGCCGGAGCAGGAGAGGTGCCACGTGCTCTCCTCCCCCAGGAGCTGCCAGCCCTGCCTGCCCCAGCACAGCCAAAGCAGGCACCTCCAGGCAGGAGCAGCCAGACCTGAGGGAAACCTGGTGCCCCTGCACCGAGCAGGGCCCTGTTGCAGCAGTGTGGGAGGCTGCACAACCTCCTCCCCACGGCCTGTGCCCAGGGCAGGGCTGTGCCCAAGGCCTGCAGCCCAGCTGCATCGTCAAGGACCACAGAAGGTGGTCAGTAATTTGTGAGCTCAGCACCCTGGCCTCCTCCTGTGATCCAAGAAAGCCTATGGGATCCCTTTGAAAGGGTGGACCACAGACCCATCCCATCCAAAGGGAACTCTGTCCCAAGGCAGACAGGACTTTGGTCAGGCCCTTCCCTCCTACCCACCTGCAGCCCCAAACTTGCACTCAAAAACACACATGAAAGACTTGCGAAAGCATGAAGACTTGTGAGTGTTTGACCTTATACAGCATTCTATCAATGACTCTGATCACTGCCTGCTCTCCCTGGTGAGGTGACCCCACGTCTGCTTGTTCCCAGACACTCCACGCAGTGCAAGCTGTCATGGAGCAGCCGGTGGGTCCCCAGCACAGTGGGCTATGGCAGTCACCAATTGCTCAGCAGCAGGAAAGAAGGGGACTGTGTCCTGATGCCCAGGGCAGAAGCTGGCTTGGCAGAGCTGCCCACACAGTTCTGCTCTCCCTCCCTGGACAGAACTGCTGGGAGCAGCTTGACATTTGAGACATTTAACCTCCTCGGCTGAGCAGCATTCTCCCCTGCAGCAGAGAGAGCTGCCCTTCTGTCTGGCTTCACACACTGAGCTGTGACAAGAAGTGAGCCCTGGCACCACACAACGCCTTTGTGCAAACCCAGCCACACACGACCGAGCTGTTCAGGGAGAGCAGCAGGGCAGAGCTGAGCAGAACAAGTTCAGCTTCCAAGGACTGAAGAAGGCACTGGTGTGTTTCAGCATAGGAAAAAGCAGCTAACTCTTGGGTGCCTTTGTTTCCTCTGAGAAGGTCCTGGTACAATGAGCAAAGGCAAACCACACACCAAATGCTCCAAGAGTCCCGTGTAAGACGACAGCACGCAATTGTTCAGCAGGGCAGAGCGCACATGACAGGAGAGATGGCCAAGAGCTCCTCACCACAGTGAAGTGCTGCCAGCCGTCCTCCCTTACCCACATCAAAGTGGGAGAGAATGCTCACCAGCTCCTGCCATCCCTCGGAGCCAACAGATGAGGATGCTTTTCCCATGGCTGCTCAGGAAGCTTCTAAACCAGGAACCTGTGCTGGAGCCCTGAGTCAGCTCTGGTTTCTAACCAATTGCTGGGTGCCATTCAAGCTTTCCTGCTTCAGAGCCCTGGAGAACTGCATTACTGCTTCCAGAGCACTGCCACAGCCAAAACTGAGGGCCACAGCGCCCTGAGACATCCAGATCTGCATAGCAGAAGGGGGCTGGGAGAATGATTAGGGAAACACTGGTTCCTGGTGGTTCAGAGGCAGCACAGCAACTCTGACCTCTGGAAAACACCAGCTGGAACAGATACCACAGAACTTGCTCCAGAACAAGGTCCTTGCAGCTTCAGGCTGAGTGAAATCCAGGTGAACCTGACACCCTTCCCTGTCCCCCAAAAAAGCATGTGACACTCCAAAACCTGGTGGGCAGCGTAAGGTTACACTGCTTTGGGGTGCCTCACCTCAGTTCCCTTGATGAAGCAGCTGAGATGGACTGACCTCTCAGGCTGAAAACACCAGGCCCGAGTGTGGGTACCCTCTCCTCTGAGCACTGAGGTCTGGCACCTCACCCTGAGTGCAGGCAGCTGCTCTGGCCAGCCTCTGGCAAGCATCTGTTGACTGGAGGAGACCACGTCACTGCAATGCAAACCACGGGCTGGAGGACAGTTAATAGTTTCAGCCACTCCTATCAAGCCCATCTTCATCCTGCTTGAAGGTGTCCATATCTATAGATTCAGTCAAGGCACCATTCAGGGAAGAGTTTTAGCACTGCTGCCTTTTACTGCTAGAGTTAAAGCCATTGTTGTCTTCTGGTAGCTCAGTGCTAAGTTACCAAGGACCAATGCTTGAGCATGCAGAAGACACGAGCTGTCAAAGGATACACTAACATTAGCAAGTCCTCCATTGTAGCACACAAAGCAATAAAGGATTTTGCTGGTGAGTTGAGAACTTGCAAAAAAGTCAGTGAAATCAAGTCTAACTGT